CATGAATTATTTCCCCACATGTCAGAGCACAGTGGCATAACATTGGGATTAAACCCATAGACTCTTGGGCAAGACTGCTTGATTTCAAGTCCTGACTCTGAACTTTCTAATTGTATGGCCCCAAGAGAGTCATTTAAACCTTCTCTGCCTCATTCCCTTTACCTGTGAAGTGAAGGATAATAATACCTACTTCCTAGATACCAGTGATGATTAAATGGGTTTATATATGTAGAGCACATCAAAATACTGCCTGTAACCTAGCACATGCTCAGTAATATGTCCTATTGTGATTTTTATAAGCCTCATGACAAATGATTGATCTTGGTTTGGTGATAATTCTATTTGGTATTAACAAAAGGTGAGTGATCATCTTCTGTGCTCACTTACTGACACACACTGAAGTCTTTCACTCTAAGCCATAAACTTTCTTAGGAGGGTTTTTTGTTCTCTCTCTCTCTCTCCACACACACACACACACACACACACACACACACACACACAATAACTATATATATATATATATATATATATATATATATATATATATATATGATGAATTTTCCCAGACCTTGTGGTGTACATGAGGTTACATAGCAATAATAATCCCAAATGCATAGAAATAATACAAATGAATGCAATCTCTTAGTGATTTTTTCTAAATCCTGCATACACCCCTCTGAGGCCTCTGTATCTACTGCTGAGTTCCTGGTGGTGCCATACTCCAGGGGGATTCAGTCTTCCCACATTCTTCTCCTAGGTTTTCTTGTAGAAGTCCCCTGTAGTGGGTGATGTGCATGAAAACACTGCTTCTTCCTGTAGCCTCTGGCCCCAGAAGCACAAAGCAGTGTATGGACCTTCCTTTCTGGAGTGCATAACCTCTGTCCCTATCAGTTTCGAGTTCTGATCCATTAAGTGACATTTAAGTGTGTGTTCAGCTCCAGGAGAGCCATTTGTCTTTTTTTTTTTTTTTTTTTTTTTTTTTTGTCAGAGAGAGAGGGAGAGCACAAGCAGGGAGAGGGGCAGGCAGAGGAAGAAGCAGGCTTCCGGCTGAGCAGAGAGCCCAATGCCAGGACAATCCCAGGACTCTGGGATCATGACCTGAGCCGAACGCAGACGCTTCACCGACCAAGCCACCCAGGCATCCCACCATTTGTCTTATTCATACCTGCCCCATATCTTTTGAATAGCATTGCTGTGTTAGTGAAAATTCACATTGTGAGTCCTCCCTCTGGAGCAAGTCAGAATTCACTTCCCCAGGCTCTTTTCCAGCTGGGATGCAGGCATGTCACCTGTGCTTCCCTAATCAGACCCCTGTGTACAGCTCTGACTGGAGGTGAGTGCTGGGAAGCAGGCTCTGCATGGTAGCTTCTATTCTGAGGGTTAGAATCAGGTCCACAGAAACTTCTCTCTGTGGGGGGATGGGGGACCTATTGACCTGAGATCCTTAGAGAGGAGTGGTTGTGGTCCTGGCAGCGTAACATCTTCAGCTGGGTCGGTCTCCAATATTTGACTTTCAAGAGCAGTGAGCCAGGCAGAGTTTCTGCCTCAGGCCGGTGAACAACCTGGTGAACCCATTGCCAAAAGCCCATTTCTTCCCTAGTCATGGTTCTGTGGCAGCCTGATATCTTCTTAATAAATACCCTTTGGCTTGGAACTATCAGAATGAATTCTTAGCCTGTAGCCAAGAACTTGATCAATATATGTTCTATTTTGCCCATTTCCTGCTACTTTTTTTTTTTTTTCAGTTGAAACTTCCAATTAGAGTTTCCTCAAAATTTTGAAAATCATAGTTTGAAAACCTGGTGATAGATTTTAGGAAATTCCTTTATTTTACTTTGATCCTACATTCACTGATCCTTTACATTGAATGTTTCCTTTGTTTGCTGTGTTATCCTCTGGATGGCCAGTCACATGTCACTTGTTCCTCTTTGAAGTTCTGCTCAGAGTTTATTTTTTTTAATCAATTTCTATCCTGACCACTCTAAAATTGCAGCCCACCCTTTTTGCAGGCTACCTTACCTTGGTCTTTTGTATTGTTTCCATATCTCCTGTTCCTTTCTAAATACGAAATTATTATTGGGGTGCCTGAGTGCCTCAGTCAGTTATGCATCCAACTCTTGATTTCAGCTCAGGTCATGATCACAGGATCATGAGATCAAACCCCATGTCAGACTAAGCACTGGGCATGCAGCCTGCTTAAGATTCTCTCTCTCCTTCTCTCTCTGCTCCTCTCCATCTCCCTCCCTCTCTCTCTCTCTCTTTCAAATAAATAAATAAAAATATAGGAAATTATTTAATTATTATTATTGTTTGTTTCCTATAATTACAATGTAAGCTTTTGGGGCACGTTTTCTTTGCTCGGTCGGTTTAGTTTGTCTTAAATTGATTTATCCCAAGTACCTAGAATATTTCCTGGAATATTATAGATCTTCAGTAAATATCTGTTGAATGAATGCATATTGAGATATGTCTATATATTTATAATTGTGCTTTGTTCCTGCACTTTTTTTAAACACCTGGTCAGAAGAAAATAAATCCAATTTCTCCAGTGATTGAAATGTGCGGCTCAGGTGTAGATTCCCTTCCTGACTATATCATTAGAGTCATGAATCAGGGCAAGTCCCATCCTTTTTGATCTTCAGTTTCCTTTTTTGTTATGCTCCAGAGGAAAACAAACACAAAGGTGGGACATCTGAGAGGAAAATTTAGCAAAGATTCTTCTGCTTTCAAATATCTGTGTGGGTGTGTGTGTGTATTTTTCCTTCCTTTCTTCTTACTCATTGACATGCATTCAGTTAACACAATTTAAAACCTTTATACTAATTTCCAGAAATGAGGAGGGGACCCCAAGCCTCAGTTCTATAAGAAACTGATGGATTTGAAACAAAACAAAGCCTCTGGCTCCTGTGAAACTTCTAGGGGCTTAAGATACTAAGTGAGAATTGGTAAAACTCCTAGAAAGCAACATAGACAGCAGAACCTGTGCATAAATTGGTTGTTCAGAAATCATACCATTAGTAATGATGCTATTAATTGATTACAACCTTGGTTTAGCTCATAAACAAAAATAACCCATGATGACATTGAACATTACTATGTGATCTGGATTCAAGATTATTGGGGAGAGGCCTGAGCAGTGCCAGGAGGGAGAGGTGGGGAGATTTCTTCCCCTTTTTTTGGACCAAAAGCCAACATTGGTAAACATATTCACATATACAATATTTTACCCTTGTGTTCCCTGGACCCACACACTGAGAAAATTGATCTAAGCTTACTCCACTCCCAAAAGTAGTGATCTGTGTCCTAAATAGACCCACCAGCTCTCTAGGCCACATGAGTGTGGCTTATCTAAGCTAGAATTTAGAAATAAAACAATTCATTGGGACTATTGTTCCATGGTTTATAAACTGTGTGAAACTAGGGAAAATGGATTTATACCATTGAGAATTAGTATGTAAAAAGAAGAGTCTGGTTAACAGACATTGCTAACCAGAATTCTAGCTTAAAAGATAATAAAGGGGCTTGGAACATTTTAGGCAGAATCAGTGTGTTATTTTGGGGTGAGTATGGTCCTTCAGGCTGTCCTCCCTCTAACTTAGTAACCCTAAGATACTTTTGCTTTTCACAGTATCTTCCTGATCTTTTCCTCATGACCTACTGATTCTCGGAAGCTCCAGATTATCATTTCTCTTACTACTTGCCTCAGTGACTTCCATAAGGATATTAGCACTGAGAGCAATGTGGAGAAAGTTGTTGCTATCTGTGCATACACAAATAATTTGTAAATTATGTGTTTGTAAATCAGAAGTTGTATGCACAATTAAATCTTGACTTAGCAAAATTCCAACCTAATAACATCATCAGACAAGTATTATTCTACTTTAAAATGGTACATCATTATGGTACATGGTACATGGCCCCTAATAAGCATTTCTTTCATTTTTTAAATAATCATGTTAAGTGCCTGTTGTATGCCAAACAGAAACAAAACAGCAATTTCCAAAGGGACCTGGACCTAACTCCATGCAGACTGATGATGTATAATACCTCCAACTCTGCCTATAACCCGTTGCTTGGATACACTATCATCTTCTCAGTAATAACTTTAATCTACTGAAATATTCTCAATCATAAAAGAAAACTCCAACTGATTTTACTAAACTAAACTTTGAACAACAAAAAAAAAAAAAAAAAAAAAGGGAAGAAAGAAATTGACAAAGACTCCAAAGTAGTTTTCTGTCAACTACATAAACCAGAAATTGGAGTTTATATACCAACTTCCTATGGGTTAAATATGACCTTCAGAAGGAATTATTTGGCCCATGTAGTACCGATCTTCAACAGGTTTTATTTTTTTCCCTTAAAATCTTTGAATTTGAAATACTTGTCCTCAGAGTCTATCAGAAACTGAGAACTAATGTCAGGGCAATCTTGGCCCTCATGCTGTTGTTTTCCTTTGATAGTTTTACAATGAAATTAATTTTTGTATCTGTATCTTAAAAATCTTTGGTCTGCAATCTGGCCCAATTTACTTAACTATGGTACCTGTCTGATTTTAGTTTGTGACCCTGCCTCTGAACATTGTGATTGATCCATGTCCTACTATGTGAATATTTTTCATGAAAGTGTTGTTTATGTCTGTATTTATATATGTCTATAGATATGGGTATAGATATAGATACATAGATATAGATGTGTATATGGATATATATAGGTAGAGAGAGATTTGTAAATATGTATATATAGATATAGTTATAGATATAGATAGATCCATATACAGGGAGAGAAAAAGAAAGGAAGGGCAAAAGAGAGGAAGAAAGAAAAGAAGAGAGGAAATGAGAGAGGGAGGATATATACAGATATGTGTATGTATATATACATATTACATATATAGAGATATATGTGTATATATATATGTAATACATGTAAATATATATTTATTCTTCAAAACATTTCCATGTAAGCTTTTGACACCCTCTGCAAACTATCTTGTCTTTCAGATGGAACACCATTTACCTGGTGGATTGGGCGGTCCAATGAAAGGCATCCTTACTGGGGAGGTGCCCCGCCTGGGGTTCAGCAGTGTGAATGTGGCCTGGATGAGAGTTGCCTGGACATTCAACACTTCTGCAATTGTGATGCTGACAAGGATGAATGGTAATGGTGATCCTGATCCTTCTGCAGTTGTAGGGGAAGCCCATTAATTGATACATAAAATTTCCCCAAGAGAAAAAGACATGGATGAGAAATTCAGTTATGAACTAGGTCTCCCTAATGATTGTGATTGTTTTTAACTTTGAAAATTGCCAGTTCTAGTACTTTTAGGGATATCACTGAGGTTTATAACATAAAACACATTGTCACATCAAAGCCTCCTTATATCTGAACATTCCACTTTGTACAATAGGATGAAATGTAGTATTAAGCTTTGTGACTTAGTCGGTGTTTCTGTAATGTGTGGACTATAGGTTCTGGGAGAGAGTGTGGGAGATAGGGATGTGCAATTGTACAAACCATACCTTCATTCTCCCATTTTCCCACTGATATTTCAGTCACCAGGCTACCTTATCATGGAATAAAAATATAGCAAAGAAAATTTATATTTATTGAACATCTACTTAGTCTTCACAAAAAAAACTTATTAATTCCTTATAATTTTCCCACTTTTGCATCTTAAGATTGAGGAATATAATTTACAGAGAAGTTAAATAATTTTCCCAAAGTTATACACATGTATTAGGTGGCAGATTCAGAACTTGAACTCAGTTATGGCTGGGACCAGGGTCATTCTTGCTCTTCACAGTTGCTTTCATAAGATAAAGCTTAGTTTTTGGTTCTCATATCCATAACATCTACTTTCCCTTTGTCCTCCAGGTGAACTGCCTGGTTTTCACTGTATTATGAAAATATGCACAGAACATTTCCAAACCTGCTTTTGTTTTCACTAAATTCAAGGCATTCTTCAGTTTTGGCTTTGTAATTTTGCTTGCTTCATGAAATTCTGCTCAATTATAATTCAAAATTCCTATGTCAAGCTTCTCTCAACCCACTTGAATTTTCTTTTAAGTACTTTTTCTTCACTGTTTAAATTGATAACAGCAGGGGATGTTTTGAATGAAATTTAAGGTAGAGTCAAACTCTCAGTTCAATGAGGAAAAGAGCAAACACTTGCCTCCACTGGGTTCTACTAGATGGACCACCTCTTCAGAATGTTGTAGGGCTACTTGGGCTCCAAGACAAGTTACCTGGATGCCTTACCTGATTTTACATGGGTAAAATCAGACAAAGTTGACTGGAGGTAGTTTGGACTTCTCCATTATTTGGGCCCCCACTTTACCCTGCATTGCTTTCTCTCATAACATCATGGAGGAGTGCAATCAAATATAACTCATATTTTGGATGGGGACTGTGTCTCTTTTAATATTATATCCCTCGGGATCTATTCCTTGTAGAAACTCAGTGGTAGTTAGCTGAATAGATGAATTTAGAAGACCTTTAAGGAGGAGGGGTGACCACAAATTTGTTCCTATAAGCTTGAGAAATATGTATGGAGAAGTTAAATGGTTTTGTTGCCAGGAAAATATATTTAAAATGACCTGCAGCTTAGATTAGATTCACTTTTTGTGTGTGTGATTCATTAATTCCTCTTCTCTATGCTTTATAGATGTATAGACCTTAATGGAAACACCTTTATTTCATTATGTATAATCAGGGAAGTTGATATGGGGCAGTAGAATATAAAGGGAAGGGGAAGTGTTTCTCCTAATTACCTTCACTCCCTTTTGGCTGAATTCTTGATTTTTGCTCACTGTTTTATTTCCTGTGGTGTGGCCATTTCCATACTGAACACTGCCTCAGTGTCTTTTCTTCCTAGGGAACAACCAACCAGGGCTGGGCTTAATTTATTGAGCAGTTAGGGGCAGTGGGGGAGAATGACATCACATTACTTAGAAGTGGAAAAGAGGCCACCATGTTGATGAGCTTCCACACTGTCTTCTCTGGGACTTTCCACTGACCATCTTTTACTCAGATTCCAGCCTCTTCCTCCATTGACCCACTCACTAGTTCACTAAGCTTTGAACCCTTAATATGTTGACTTAACTTCATCATCTAAGCTGTACTTAGAGGAGTGTTTCAAAATTTCCTTTCTGTCAACTCTGGCACCATCATACTTTTATCAACATAGAGGTTATTGCATATTTCATAACCCTTTCTAGTTCCTTTACAGTCAGGGAAAAACTCCATTATCTGCCACTTTCTGTGGCAAGTGACCTCTATTAGGGGCAGCAACATTTAATTTTAGATATAAATTTTGTTCAACAACCCACATAACAAGGATCAAGAGAAATGATCTGAACTTCCTTTCATAAAGATGCCTACTTCACTGTGACTAAAATAACATGTTGATCATCTCAAGGCAAAATTCAGGCGAAATCAGGGAGTTCTTTCTGTCATTCTTACGAAGGATGGAAGAAGAGGCTGAGAAGGAGAATGAGAAGAGGCTGAGATTACTGATTTAACTCTTCTGGATTTCACTAATTTGTCTCAGGACATCACAGCCTGTTATACATGAATCTGGAAAATACTTTGTTATAGAAGCAACTGTACTTACTAGTCCATCTGATATTTACTCATGTATCACTTGTTTACTGTGTCCCTGGTCTTTGCCAGTCAAGCAGTCTGCTGTGCAGAGAAAGTCAAGGGCATTATAGTCTCTGCCCTTGAGGAGCTCACAGAACAGTGAGAAAGAAAAAGCTAGTTAGTTAGCAATAAATGCATTGTGTGATGAATTTGGTAATAAAGATAAGTATAGATGTGCCCAAAGCTGTGGTGGATATGGGCTGGGATAAGTGACAGGTTTTGAAGGACCAGAAGAAGTTAGCTAAAGTTCGTGTAGTATAGGTAGGTGGAACCTCCATATGCTCAGACAGGGAAATGTGAAAAAATATAGAAATCACTACTTTCCCAAGACAATTTGGTGTGATTATTGCCCCATCTTCATGTGGGGAATTTGCAGGAGAGGAAGGCAGGAAAGATCAAATCCAGATCAAGAAGCTCCTTGTATGTGAACTAACAGTGAGATTCCTTTGTCTGTAACAAGATTGTGAACACAGAATATCCATTCCACCATGAAACCCGGCAGAGCCTTGTGGAAATGCATTTATTACTTATCTATTCAAGTCTATTATTTACTGTAGAAGGGAAAAGTACAAAAGCTTACACAATTGTGAAATAGTCATGTTTTTTTAACGTTCTTCCAAGCACATTCATAGCTTCCATGTGGTCAAGCTGGCATTCCACACATTTTCATATTTTTGTTTCAGTCCAGCATGCCCCTGTTAATATCACTGGTGTTTCTCTGTGCTCCTAAGAAACCTCAAATATATTTACTTTGTACAGTTCCCTCAAGTTTCTGCTCTTGGTAAAATTGATCAGAAAACTGATTTGGGCTGGTAGAACATCTAGCAGTTTGATTACAACTCCTAGGTAATATTGTTGCTGAAAAATGTTACCTAACATATACTGAAGTGTTCTTGGTATTTTATATAGTGCATCTCATAGCATCATCCTACCAGCTCTTGAGGTGGGTTTCATCATCTCTTTTCCCCAGAAAAGGAAACTGAGGCTCTGGCATGGTAAGTGGCTTAGTTAAGGTCACGTGACTAAGGGGGCAGAGTAGGATCCTGCTGACTCCAAGGATGCTCTTGGTGACTACATGAAAGGAGCGACCAAGTTGAGATTCTGAGTTATGACAGCGGGTGAGGATGCCAAAGAGACCTCTCCCAGGGTTTCTCCAATCACATCCCAGCAGCCCATGGGTTTCTTTTTTCTGGATCAGGCTGCTAAGAGAGGCTTAGCCATCCTCTTGGCCTCTGGTAATTGACAATAATTTATTCTGTTTTAATCAAACTCGGTAACTGAATAAATTGCTGCTATATATTTCAATGAGACCAAGTAAATGAGGAAAATGATTACAGGGTGGGTGTGAGGGGAAGTGAGTCAGCTCAGAAGATGGAGGTGGATGGAGGGGAAAAAAGAATTTGATGAACACCCAAAGCGTGACTTTTTCTTAGAGTAAAGGGAAGCATCAGGTAGGCGTTAGAAATCAGGTATGCTACTGAGCTGACATCTCCAAGGGGTTCTGTCCCAGCCAAAGAACTAAATAGGAAGAAAAAGAAAAAAAAATAAATAAATGAGAAAACTTGAAATGAGTAACAGTTTTATAGTCAATGATTGCTTGCAAAGGAACTTGTCTTCAACTTAATGGTTCAATGTATAGAAATCCTGCCAATTGGGTGTTTTATGATCCCATTACTTCAGACTGATAGACTTCAGAGAATAGCAAATGACACGGGATAGCTCCAGCCTGGAGACAGCATAGGGGCAGTCGGGTTCTGTAGGGTGGGAAACCGTCATCTAGGTAGATGGATCCAAAGGATGGTTCTGTCAGCAAGTTGGAGGAGGCAAGGAAATCTTTCAAAATGTGCCTCATGCTGGTGGCCTGCAGTCCTAATTAAGACTTCTTTCAGCCAAACAACCAAGTGGAACTGAAACTAAGCTCTATTGCTTAACAGTAGGACATCTTTTAGAATTTAGTCATAAGAAAGTACAGATATTTTTATTTGATTTTCAGTAACTTTGTTCTTTGCCTCTTGTCCTTAATACACCCTTATATAAAGTAATATGGTAAAAAATAGGAAGAGAAAATGATGTAAGGTTTAAATTCTGGTCATCTGGTCATCCAAAAAAAGGGAACCTATTATTCTGTTTCTTAAAAAAAAAATACAAGATATTTTTAGGGTTTTATTTTTGGGGGGGATATGGAATCCTGAAGCTTCAAACCACTCTTTAGCCATTGATTCCACTTGACTACCACAGAGAAATTATTTAATAAATGGTGTCAAATCCATGAATGAACAATTGAATGACTTTTATTGGACATACTTTTACTTTTCGTAGGTCAGGCCATGGTCATTCTTGGATTAACTTATCTTTATTTCATTGTTAGCTGTTATCCACCTTTAAAACCTCATAAGAAACAATTACCCAAAATTTAGCCTAAACTTTCCACTGCACATTCATTTTTCTTCTGGCTTTCAAGGAGTAGTTAGAAATGGCCACTCTAAAAAGAAAAAAAAAAAAAAAAAGAAATGGCC